ATTTTTGTAGATCTAAGATTTAAAATCCTATGTCTGTCAGTTGTCACTCTGGGCTATCACAAGTCACATAATGCCTCAGGAACTTGGGCAGGAGAAGGTCATAGATCTTCTAATTGTGTAATCTTACCGAGCTTATTTATTCTATTGGCAATTTCTTCATCTTATTGCCTCGGACTACACTGGGGTTACGGTGAGATTATATACATGAAAAAGATTCAGAAGAAATCCTTTGAACTTAATGTGGAACCACTAGCTTATCAAGAGTGTACTTCCTTTTCACTCTCTCTTTTATTTTTAATTTTTGGAGAATTGAGTGACAGTTTAAAAAAGTTGTACATATTTTTCATCACATTGATTGCCATCTCCACCCTGTAATGTCACTCACCCTCCTTCCTCCCTGGGGTTTCCATGCCCATTCCTCTCTCTTTCCTAACCTTGCTGAGTTTTGTCCTTGGGTAAATGCCGCACTGTGATTTTCTCCGTCGGTGTTATAATCTACTATGCATATTGAAGACTTTTTATGTTATCCTTACCTCTGTTTTTTTTAAAATTTTTACACAGTTTTATTGGCACTTTATCCATATGTCATAAAATTCAATAGTTCATTTATACCAAGAAGAATTTTACAATCATTACCACAATCGTATTAGAATATTTTTCTGCCTTGTACTGATTGTTATTAGTGTAATTATTATTTTTTTAAATTGTGGCATAAACATACACAACAAGACATTCTCCAAGTCAGTAACTTCTACATGAATAATTCAGTGCCATTGGTTGTACTCTTCACGTTGTTCAACCATTGTTGATACCCTTTTCTTTGTGTGTGTGTGTGTGTGTGTAGTGATTTTTTTCCCTTTTTTTATTTCTTTTTTATTAGGGGCTTATCACAATCCATACATACATCAATTGTGTAAAGCACATTTGTACATTCATTGCCCTCATCCTTCTCAAAACATTTGCTCTCCACCTCATCCCCTGGCAGGATGTATTTTCTTTTTTAAAATTATTTTATTTATTTATTTATTTATTTATTTATTTATTTATTGGCAGGATGTATTTTCTTTTCTTTTTTTTTTTTTTTCCAGCTTTCTGGAACTTTATTTGGAATTACATTAAACATGTAGAACAATTTTGATAGAATTGACAACTGTACCACGTTGAATTGCCAATCCATGATTAATTATACTAGTTCCCTTAACTTTCTTCTCTGTGTTTTTTTTTTTTTTTTAACATTTTATTAGGGGGCTCATACAACTGTTAATCCCAATCCATACACACATCAATTGTGTAAAGCGCATTTGTACATCGTTTCTCAAAACATTTTCTCTCCATTTAAACCCCCGACATTAGGTCCTCATTTTTCCCCTCCCTCCCCGCTCCCCACCTCCCGCATGAGCCCTTCATAGTTTACAAATGGGTATTTTGTCATATCTTGCCCTGTCCGACTTCTCCCTTCATCCACTTTTCAGTTGTCCGTCCCCCAGGGAGGAGGCCACACACAGTTCCATGCAATTGGTTGGCAGGATGTATTTTCATTGTTACAAATTGAACATAATTCAAGCATAGTGATTAATCACAAAAACTATGTAATTCTATATTGTGAAATATTTATTTCTAGTTACAAATCAATGAAGTCTTGTCTTGAAGCATGGTGTAGCATGGGTAACAGTCTTCACGCTGGGTACTCATGTGGGCGTATCTGCATGTGGGTGGACCAGCCTGGAATCAGATAGAGGAGTGGTGTCTCAGTTCCTAAGACCATCGAAATATGTGTTTTCTGATGGTCTTAGGTGACCCCTGTGAAAAGGTCGTTCAACCCCCAAAGGGGTCGCGACCACAGTTGAGAATCACTGTTAAATGCTTTTAGTTAAAGGGATTTATTTCCTCTACTGGCAAATCTACTTTATTGTTAGCTTTAACAAATAAATTATTTTCTATTAACTAACCCCCCACAAAAAAACACCACCCAAAACAAAAATTCAAACCCACTGCAATCCATTTGATTCTGACTCATAACAATCTTATGTAAGGTTTCCAAGATTGTAACTCTCTATGGAAGCAGAGATCCTCATCTGTCTCCTGAGGATCTGCTAGTGGATTTGAACTGCTGGCCTTGAGGTTAGCAGCCCTACTTCTAACTACAGCACCATTTTTAAAATGGTGATTGTACAATGAGTACAAGATTGAAGAAAATGTTCTAAAACTGATTGTGGTGATGATTGTACAACTCTTCTTGATGGGAATCGTTCGATAAAACTTTTTTCCCCCTGGAATTATCATTTTTATTGTTATCTATAGTTGTTATGATCCACATAGTCAAATGCCTTGGCACAGTCAATAAAACCCAAGGAATCATCTTTCTGGTAATCTCTGCTTTCAGCCAAGATCCATCTGGAGTCAGTAATTATATCCCTTGTTTTATGTCCTCTTCTGAATCTGGCCTGAACCTCTGGCAGCTCCTCGTCAATATACTGTTGCAACTCTCGAAGGATGATCTTCAGCAAAATTTTACTTTCATGTCATATCGATGACATCGTTCTTTAATTTGAGCATTCAGTTGGGTCACCTTTCCTTGGAATGGTCATCCAAATATGGATCTCTTCCAGTCAGTTGACCAAGTAGTTGTCTTCTAAATTTTGTGGCAGAGACGAGTAAGTACTTCCAGTGCTTCATCATCCTCTTGAAACCTTTCGATTGATATACCATCAATTGCTGGAGCCTTGGTTTTGAATAATGCTTTCAATGCAGTGTGGATTTATTCTTTCAGTACCATTGGTTCTTGTTCCTATGCTACCTTTTGAGATGGTTGAATGTCAACCAGTACTTTTTGGTACAGTGACTGTGTATTCTTTCCATCTTCTTTTGAATATTTTGCCCATAGAATCTTTCAAGATTGCAACTCGAGGCCTGAGTATTTCCTTGAGCTTAAGATATGCTGAGCATGGTCCTTTTGCTTTCTACCTTTAGGTCTTTGCACATTTCTTTCTTTTTAAAATCATTTTATTGGGGCTCGTACAACTCTTATCACAATCCATACAACCATCCATTGCCAATAAAACTCTTAAAATATAGTGATTACATATTTATATCAATACATATTTTTCTTTGAACAAGCACCAAAGTGTTCAGTGCTTAACACAGTGTGATAGATAATTGCAGGTTTAAAAAAAATCGTACCCATTCTTTATGTTCTCTATGAAGATACTACTTATAGTTAGAAAAGCAATGCTTTGTAAAATTGCCATTGATTTAATTCATATACTTAGTGCCATTCGTGCTAATTTCTAGGAATAGGGAAATCAGACAGGAAAGGTCACAGTGCTCTCGGAACTTCTGATGATAATAAGATCCTGAACAAGTAACTAAGTATAGTAAATACAGCAGATTGGGGACCCAAGACCCATCTATAGGCAACTGGACATCCCCTTACAGAAGGGTTGCAGGGAGGAGATGAGCCAGTCGGTGCCGTGTAGGAACAATGAAACATATAATTTTCCTTTAGTTCTGAAATGCTTCCTACCCCCACCTACCCACTATCATAATCCCAATTCTACCTTAACCCAGCTAGACCAGAGGATGTACATTTTTACAGATGGGAGCTGGAAACACAGGGAATCCAGGACAGATGATCCCTTCAGGACCAGTGCTGAGAGTGGCGATACTGGGAGGGTGGAGGGAAGGTGGGATGGAAAAGGGGAACCGATGACAAGGATCTACATATAACCTCCTCCCTGGGGTATGGACAACAGAAAAGTGGGTGAAGGGAGACGTTGGACAGTGTAAAGTGTGACAAAATAATTTATAACTTATCAAGGGTTCATGAGGGAGTGGGGAGCGGGGAGGAAGGGGAAAATGAGGAGCTGATACCAAGGGCTCAGGTAGAAAGCAAATGTTTTGAGAATGATGATGGTAACAAAAGTACAAATGTGCTTAAAAAAAAAAAGTACAAATGTGCTTAACACAATGGATGTATGGATTGTGATAAGAGTTGTACGAGCCCCCAATAAAAATGATTAAATAAATAAATACAGATTTGGACTAATGCTGGAAAGATGTGACAGAGAAGAGCAGGGGCCCCAGATTAGGAAAAGCCCCTCTGACAGGTGAGAGCCCCTCTCTCCTCCCAGACATTACAGACTCAAAGGCAGAAAAGAGCTTGATTTATTCTTGCAGGCTTATTTGTAGAAGGCTTGCTTCTATCAGTATTTTTCAGGTCCTGTCAATATTAGATTGAATTATAAGAAATTTCTGTTTCTGTAGGTCAGCCCTGGTTAAATAGCAGCCACTTCAGAAGGTTCAACCTGCACTGTGGCTACAGTTCTCCCTCTGACCTCCGAGTGACTCGGGTTCCTTGGCTGTAGTTTCCGCACCTGTAAAGGAAGGTCAGGCTGATAATTGAGTTATCTGGATCCTCCTCTCTATCGCAGATATTTTCTGATACGAACCAGGGCCCAGACGAGGGTGAGGCCAGTGAGGTGCTGAGGGAGGGCCCGGAATCATAGGGGCTTGGCCCCTTGCACTCACGTGACCCGTTTACTGACACTTTGCAACCCAGGCTTGCCTACCCGTACTCTGAGCCCTGATTTGAATTTATTTTAATATCTATATTTGAGGATTCATTTCTGGATGTGTATTCTTGGTAATGTGATAGTGCTTCAGACAAACAAACGTGCTTCCATTGAGTCCATTCTGACTCATAGCGACCCTATGGGTTTCCAAGACTGTAACTGTTTACGGGAATAGAAAGCCCTCGTCTTCCTCCCGGTGATAAGGCTTAGTGAAGTAGTGATTTAAAAAGCTACAGCATGCATCATCAGTTACTGAGTTTTGTGTTTTGCTCCTGTTTTTCCTGTTTTCTCTGCCCAGGTGATTTCACATCCTCACTAAGAACTTGTGAATACTAGCTTACAGAGATCCACAATGATCCTGGTGACTTCTTGTTTGTAGCTGGAAAAGAAAACTCGGTAGCAGTAATGTTTTATTGTGTTCTCCTTTAGATCAGGCCAAAGCATATGTGAAGATTTTTACTGAAATTGACCGGATGCCCCAGCTCCTTGCATACTACTATAAGTGTCGTAAGGTGAGAGGCTGTGAATAATTACGATACTGTAATAGAACACGGAGCTACAGAAGGTGAAATAGTCGCCTCCACTCCTGCTGGTCCTTTTACTTTGAATTAACCAGTAGGGGATGCTCTTGGTCCATCCATCCTGTGGATGCATCTGCCAACTGAGGTGGAGGGAGGTGGGGTGGGCAGAGGAATCAGTTTTCAGTCTCCTCTGTTTTGAGATATGGATTTAATTGACAAACTTGACAAGTTTAAATTATCCTCATTTTAAATTTTTGACGGAGTTTCATGTCTTATGTTTCATTATATGAATTTTATAGATTTTCTTGAGTTTGTTGGCTTTAGGTTACGGTAAAACATAAAGGCTTTCTAGGCTTACCTTAATTTCTTCAAGCCCAGAGCTCATGTGTCTTGAAGCAATAGTGTTAAGACATGAAGCCTAAATACACACTCATGCTGTCCTCTGAGAGCTGTTCAGAGGAAGGTAGTATCCTGTTGGCGTATTTTTGAGACAGAATAAGAGAAGCGAGGAACACTTGGAGAGCAACAATTTCAATGATAGCTGAGCAAGTGACTGTAAATGTCTCCCCCTAACCCCTTTTTTCCGAAGTGAGTGGACCTCACTGGTGACCATTTGCTGGGTGGAGGCACAGGTATTTTCATAGACGTAACTGATAAGGCCCTCTGTGCTTTGCCTCTGCAGGTACGGCTCTTAGCAACTTGGCAGGAGTTGTGCCAGAGTGAGCTCCCCCTGGACCGACAGCTCACCGGACTCTACGATGCCTTGCTTGGTGCCTGGCACAGCCAAATCCAATGGGCTACGCAGGTAATGGCTCATTTGGTTTCTAGAGAGAACAAAACCAATGTGACAAAGAATGGGTGACTACCTCGGGAATGGTCTCTCCTAACTGCAGAGCACCTCGAAGAACCTCCCCGATTGCCAGTGTCACCAGAGGGATTAACAGATAAGCTTCGAAACCCACGTCAGTAAACTCATTAGGTCCCCATTAAAACCCTTCTTATCACTCTTATCTATATCTTAAATAGAATCTAATGTGACAGTATTGCTTGTTGTTCAGCAAGTGAGCCCGTGGAATTCCTGAAGGCCATTATCTTCAGATCTAAAAAGCAGGAGGTCCTTAGTCAGGTGGTGTTTCAGTGAACAAGATATTTTTTTTAAGTTGTTTCATTGTGATTTGTGATTATTGAGTGAGAGTTTACAGAGCCAAGCATTTTTGTATTCAACAGCTGATGCACAATTTGCTTTGTGACATCGGTTGCTGGGCCCACGATGTAATGGCCCTCTTCCTGTTTCCGCCCACATTTCGTTTTTCCCTTTTGCCCTTCTTTCTTGCCCTTTCCTTGGATACGGATGTTCTTCATCATCTAAAAGTGGTCATAGACTTCTCAGACTTATATCCAGGTCCCATCCTCAGTTTTTAAGGTGCGAGTTTATGCTACTTTAAGACTTTGGCTCATGACCTATTTTCTTTTCAGCATATAAGCATAATAGTGGGCTGTCATCTCCTAAACTCAGTACAGAGCAAAAGAAGACCAAAGGGGCTAGGTGACTGTTTCCCTTTCACATTTTACAAACTTTGTATTGTACAAAAAAACGCACTTTGTATTGTGAATTAGGTGAAGGTTTGCAAGTAGATCATCGGTTTTGCATTCAACAGTTCACACACATTTTGTTTCAACTCATCCATTGTAATCCCTCAGTGTACTTACCCCTCAGTCGCTGATCTTACTACGACCTGTGTTTCCTGTTTCCGTTTCTCCTTCTTTCCTAACCCTTAGTACTTTGTATATGCGTAAATGTGCTCCTTTGTTCTTAAATGATTGATTCTTTTAACATGGGTAGAAGACCAGTGCCAGACCTGAAGGGTGACCTAAAGGCCATAGTCAATGGGTTCCCACTAGTTTCCATCTGACCAGGAAGCCTGGGCTCTTTCATGATTTGGAGTTTTGTTCTACATTTTTCTCCCACTCTCTCTCGGATCTTCTCATGGGATCTTCTTCAGAGAAGGCAGTGGTGGCCAGGCACCGTTTAGTCCTTCCAGTCTCAGGGTTGTGGAGGCTAATGCTTGCATGGTCCATCAGTCCACTGGACTAAATATTTTCATATGTCTTTCTTTTTCATCGTTGATCTTTCCCTCTGCATGAGGAGTTACCAATAGTTGGACCTTAGATGACTCCTCACAAGCTTTTCAGACCCAGTCACTTTCATCAAAGTGGGAGGAGAACATTGTCTTGGTGAGCTAAGTTGTGCCAGTTGACCTTGGTCACCCCTGAGAGTAGGGTCCTGATCCCCACGGCTGAGCAATTCAAGGTGTTTGGTTATATGTAAGAAGTGCTCATAACTTTGCCTCCTGTGTGCTCCATCACATTCATGAGTACATTTGCAGCAAGTATAATTAGACATATTCAAATATCCTCTGTTAAATCTCTATATATCCATGGGCATGTTCCAACTCTCTCTCCTACACCCATTCAGCCTGTGCGTCTACCCAAGCATCTACTTGTAGATCACCACTTGCAGGATTGTGTATATAACAGTGTTTGCCTCTGTGGCCTTTCACTCTTGCAAACTTCCCATGCTTCCATCATTTTTTGCTGACTGCCCTTTTATTGTATGTGGCCTTTCCCTTCACCCAAATTAATACTTGTCTACCTCCTAGTCCGTGACTTTCTTCCCGTCCTTCCTCTTCCTCCCCTGATAGCCATCAAAAGTGCTTCATCCCCCATTAGCTTTCCACATACCAAGAATATTGGTTGAAAGAATATCCCTGTACTCGCTTCGTAGTTACTCCAGTGAACATTTTGCTACATAGGCTTTTTATAAGTCTAGTTTCTGGGTGGTGCAAACACTTAAAGTGCTTGACTACTAGCTGAAAGATTGGTTGCTTGAACTCACCCAGATGCACCTCAGGAAACAGGCCTGGCAATCTCCTTCTGAGAAGCCTATGAAACAGTTCTACTTTTGCACATTAGGCCACCGTTAGTCAAAATTGACTTGATACCAGTTAAGGCCACCACTACCAACTTCCATCTGTCCATACCTCTCTCAATTTACTAATCATCTTATTTCTTTTATGCTTTTCAAAGTATGTTAGCAGACATCATTGCCTTCATAGTATACCACACATGTTACTCACTCAAAATGTTTAGAACTTTATCTGCTGATGGTCATGACTCAAAATGAGAATAGCTGTAAACATCCATTACTAATTGGAACATGGAATGTACTAAGTATGAATCTACAAAAACTAGAAATCATCAAAACTGAATAGAATGCTTAAAGGTCAACATCCTAGACACTAGTGAGCTGAAGTGGACTGGTACTGACCAGTTTGAATCAGATAATCCTATAGTTTACTATAATAGGAGTAACGAATTAAAGAATGGTGTCACATACATCATCAAAAGAACATTTTAAGATCTCTAAAGTACAATGCCATTTGTGATAGGATAATATCTATATACCTGCAAGGAAGATTAGTTAATATAATTATTATTCAAATTTTTACATTAACTACTAAAGCTAGTAATGAAGAAATTGAAGAATTTTACCAGCTACTTCAATCTGGAACTGATCAAACATACAATTGCAATACATTGATAATTACTAGTGATAGGAATGTGGAAGTTGCAAACAGCGGATTAAATGGTAGTTGAAAAATATTGCTTTGGTGATTGAAGCGTAGCTGGAGATTGCTCGATAGAATTTTGTAAGAGCAGAGGTTTATTCATTGCACATACCTTTTTCATCGACATAAATGGCAACTGTACATGTGGACTTTGCTAGATAGAATATGTAGGAATTGAATGGACTATAACTGTGGGAAGAGACAATGGGGAAGTTCCGTTTCAACTAAAAGAAGGCCAGAGGCTGACCGTGGACGAGACCATCAATTGCTACTATGTAAGTTTAGATTCAAGCTGAAGAAACAAAAAGAAGTCCATGAAAGCCAGAGAGGAAGCTGGAATATATCCCCCTGACTGTGCAGGCCATCTTATGAACAGAGTTAATGTATTGGACACTAATGACAGAAGACTTTGGATGACATCATGATATCATAGCTGAAGAAACGGAAATATCACTAAAGAAATAAGGAAGAGCGTACAAACCAAGGTGTGGATATCAGAAGAGACTGAAACTGCTCTTGAACATTTAGAGGTGCTAAAGCCAATGGAGGAAACGATGACATAAAAGACCTGACCAAAGGATTTCCAAGAGCAGCTTCAGAAGACAGAGTAATAATGGGGAAGTTAGAAAGCCAGAAGGGAGTAACATGCTCATCACATCTCAAGTTGAAGACAAAATTCAAGCCTTGACTTGGGCAGAAAATTGAAGGCATACTCAGCCACTATACCAAAAAGAATTGACATGGGAGAAAGAAATCCATACTGTAGTGAAGGCATTAGTGGAAAACAAACAAGAAAACCAACAACTCCAGGAGTGATGGAGTATCCATTGAAATGTTTCAACAAGCTGATGGAGCCCACTGGAAGCACTGACTCAATTTTGGAAGACAGTTACCTGGCTAACTGACTGGAAGAAACCCCTGTTTGTGCCTGTTCTAAAGAGAAGCAATTCACGTGCAAGTGAAAGTTTGTTGAAGAAAATTAAAAATGCTGCCATGATGCATTGTCAGAGATTTGCCAGAAAATCAAACCAGATTCAGAAGAGGATGTGGAATGAGAGATATTATTGCTGACATCAGGTAGCTCTTAGCTGGAGGGAATGACCGAAAGATGTTTACTTGTTTTTATTGATTATGCAAAGGCATTCAACTGTTAGTATCATAAACTATGGTTAACATTGAAAAGAATGGGAATTCCAGAACACTCCATTGTGCTAATGCAGAACCTACATATGGATCAAGAGGTAGTGTTTAAGCTAGAACAAGGGAATACTGCACGTTTTAAAATCAGTAAAGGTATGTATTGGGGTTATATTCCTTCACTGTATTTATTCATTCTATGGTGAATAATGATATGAGAAACTATATGAAGAAGGAGGAGGCATTAGAATAGCACTCAAGGTTAAATAATTTGACAAGAAGATTCCATACATGATGTTCTGACCGTAAATCACTCTTGAATCAGTAACGTTGTCATTCACTCTGCTTTTCCAGATCCTCACTGGCTAGCTGAGAATGTCAACCTCAGCGCCTACGTTCCTTTTCCATTAACTTGCTGTAGGGTCAAGTGTGATTCATAGCAGTGACGAAGGTAGATGACACAATCTTCCTTGCTGAATTCGAGGCATATTTGTGGCACTTGCTGATGAAAATCAAAGATTGCAGCCTTCAGTGTGGATTACAACTCAATGCAAAGAATTCTCACAGCGAGACTTAAGAGCAGCATTGTGATAAAAAGAAATGATTGAAGTTGTCAAGGATTTGATTTTGCTTGGATCCACTATCAGTGCTTATGGAAGTAGAAGTCAAGAAATCAAAGGATGTATCACATTGGGCAAGTTTGGTACACAAGACCTCTTTAAAGTATTGTTACTTTGCGGACTAAGGTGTGCCTGACCCAAGCCATGGTGTTTGCCATTGCCTCATATGCATGTGGAAGCTGGAAATTGAATAAGGAAGATCAAAGAAGAATCAGTGTATTTGAATCTTGAATTTTAGTGTTGGCGTAGAATATTGAAAGTACCATGAACTTCCAGAAGAATAAACATACCTGTCTTGGAAGAAGTACAGCTAGGATGCCCCTTAGAAGGAGGACAGTGAGGCCTTGTCTCGCAGACTTTGAACATGTCAGGAGAGGCAGAGACCGGAAAAGGAGATCATACTGGGTAAAGTTAGAGGGTCATTGAAAAGAGGAAGACCCTTGATAGAAGGGATTGACACGGTGGCTGCAAAAATGGGTTCAAACAGAACAATAGATGTGAGGAGGGCGCAGGACTGGGGTTGCTATGAGTCAGAATTGATTCTGTAGCATCTGAAAACAACATTGAAGAAAAAGGAACAAAAAACCCAACAATTAATATATTTTCTCTTTTATTGCATTGTCTTTCCTAAGAAATGTTGGCTTGCTTCAAAATTGCAAAAATATTCTTTTATTATTTTTTCTTGTAAAGTATCGCTCTTGGTCCAAACATTTAGCAAAAAAAAAATTTATATATATATATATATATTATTAACCACAATATTTAACTTGGGTGCTTCCATGAGGAACCATACAGACGTACCCAAGTTAAAGGTCATATGTGAAACAACTGCCCTGGACTCTTCAAAATGTGGATGATCCTAAGGGAAAAACCCCAGAGCACTTCTAGGTGAAAGGAGACTAAAGACCTGTGACGATTAAATGGCAATGGATGATCTGTGATGGGATCCTGCATGATTTAACAAAGAAATACTATAGAGGACAGTTAGGGAACTTTAAACATGGACTATATTACATAATGATAGTTCACCTTGGTCAAGGTTAAGTTTGGTCCCAACACAACCGCTGAAGACAAAGCGGGTGAATAAGCAAATGTGGTGAAGAAAGTGGATGGTGCCCGGCTATCAAAAGATATAGCGTCTGGGGTCTTAAAAGCTTGAAGGTAAACAAGCGGCCATCTAGCTCAGAAGCAACAAAGCCCACATGGAACAACATATCAACCCCGCAAACAAAACAAAACAAACACATACACAATAGACTTTCAATGAAGGGATCTATAATACATAGCTTGGTAAGAAAGACTCCCAATGAATCAGTGAATCTCTAACCAGAAGGCTCTGCATAGACTATTCCTGGTGGTCCTTAAGAAGAAAAGATTCAAATGTTGATGGCAACATATGTACAAGTGTGCTTAATACTGTTGCATGACAGATTGTTAAAAGATTTGTAAGAGCCCCCCAATAAAATTATTAACTAAAAAAAGAATAAAAGATTCATCAAAAAACTAAAAAGACAAGATGGGGCTTTCTATTCTCATACATACTTACACTCTCAGAAACTCAGAGACAGTTCTACCCTGCTCTATAGGATCTCTGTGAGTCGGTGCCGACTCAATGGCAGTGAGTTTGGTTGGTTAAGGGTAGGACTGCACAACCAGTTAATATAGGTGCTGTTGATAAGTTGTACACATACAAAAACATTGAATTAGCCAAACTTATGGATATATTCCTATAATGGGGGGAAAGGCTGCTGAGGGTGCTTAGCACAATGACGTGAGATTTGGAGGTGTAGGGAAATGGTTTCATGGGACATCTCAATGAACCTAATAACGTGTTTAGTGCTTCTGTTCCACCTTCTAGTTTGTTGTGTAGTGCCTGGGGTCTTAAAAGCTTTCAGGTGGCCATCCAAGGCACAAAAATCTGTGTGTACCCAGAGTGCAGAGGAAGAAGGAGAGTTGGGAATAGGAGGGGGATCTGGAATCTGGCTAATTGCTACCATAACAATTGCTTCCTTTGCCATGCCATGCAACCAGAACTGGATGGTGCCTGCTACCAGTCCCAAGCATGCTTATGTGTGTGTGTATATGTATGTCTATGTCTATGGGGTCCAGTTGAAAATAGCAACTCAAAAGATTAGATAGGAACCTTAGGAGACAGTGAAAAGAGGGTGAGAATTGTTGCCCAACTCAAAGAACTTAATCAGTGCTACTGTGGTGTAGAAACTTGTATTGGTATATTTTTTGCTATGTATCTTTTTATAAACCAAACTACAATAAGGTACATTATTATTTTTAAAAAATAATTTTATTGGGGGCAGCCCTTATCACAATCCATACATACATCCATGTGTCAAGCAAATTTGTACAGTTGTTGCCATCATCATTCTCAAAACATTTTCTTTCTACTTGAGGCCTTGGTATCAGCTCCTCACTTTCCCCCTTCCTCCCCCACCCTCCCTCACGAACCCTTGATAATTTATAAATTATTATTTTGCCATGTCTTATACTGTCTGATGCTTCCCTTCACCCACTTTTCTGTTGTCTGTCCCCCAAGGAGGGGGTTATATGTAGATCATTGTGATCGGTTCCCCCTTTCTCCCCTACCTTTCCCTTGCCCTCCTGGTATCGCTACTCTCATTGTTGGACCTGAGGGGTTTATCTGTTCTGGATTTCCTGTGTTTCCAGCTCTGATCTGTAGCAGTGTACATCCTCTGGTCTAGCCAGATTTGTACGGTAGAATTGGGATCATGATAGTGGGGATGAGGAAACTTTAAAGAACTAGAGGAAAGTTGTCTGTTTTATAGGTACGATACTGCACCCTGACTGACTCGTCTCCTTCCTGCAACCCTTCTGTAAGGGAATGTCCAGTAGTCTACAGTTGGGCTACGGGTCCCCACTCCACACCTGATCCCTTCGACACCTCGTGATCACACAGGCTGGTGTGCTTCTTCTATGTGGACTTTGTTGCTTCTGAACTAGATGGCCGCTTGTTATCTTCAATCCTTTAAGATCCCGGATGCTATCTCTTTTGATAGTCGGGCACCATCAGCTTTCTTCACCACATTTGCTTATACACATATGCTTATTCAACAATCGTGTCAGGAAGGTGAGCATCATGGAATGACAGTTTAATAAAACAAAGTGTTCCTGCATTGAGGGAGTAGTTGAATGGAGACCCAATGTCCATCTGCTACCTTAATACTAAACTTATAAACATATGCACATAGATCTATTTCCCCATCCTCATATATAAATATATTTACATATGTACATGCTTGTATTTAGACCTCTATAAATACCCTTTACCTCCTAGTTCTTCCCTCTATTTCCTTTTACTTTCCTCTTGTTCCACTATCATGTTCAACTTTCATTTGGGTTTTAGTAATTCCTCTCGGTTACATTGCCCTTGATCAAGCCCTACCAGGCTTCCTACACCCTCCTTATCATTGATTTTGGATCACTTGTTGTTCCCTTGTCCTTGGGGTTGTTAACACCCACTTCCTTTACCCCGCCTCCCCCTCTCTCATGTTCCCCCAGAACCATTGGTTCCGTTGTTTTCTCCTCCAGATTTTTTATCCCGCCTATCTTATCTAGATAGACCTGCAGAGATAATAATATGCACAAAAAACACAATGGTAAAACAAAACAACAAAAACAACAACCAAAAATCCAACGAGAAAAAAAAAGAAAAACCTGTGAATAGTTCAAGGTCTGTTTGTTAACCTTTAGGAGTCTTTCCCGGTGGAGTCTGATGGGGTGCCATGCCCTGGCCCCACACTCAATTTTTGGTATTCCCCGAGGACCTTGTTGCTCTGTTCCCCTTGCTGTTGTTCCACACCCTTAGTGTTTCACCTCAGTGTGGTGGGGAAGGTACATTATTTTAAAAAAATGATAATGAAAACAGCCACCTCACTGAAAAGCTGCATCCAGAGGAGGGATAGGTTCAATCCATCTGGACTGAAAAGCTGTGTCCAGGGGAGAGCAAGGTTCGAGACAGCTGCAGGCTGGTTTGTAAAAGTGCTTAAAGGTCATTTTAATGTTCACATTCTGCACTTTCATCCTCTCAGCATTCCCCTGAGCCAGTTTTTGGTAACCATTAAATACTGTGTGAAAGCCTTGAATAGATTTGAAAATACCTGGGCATTTGGGGCCAGTGGTAGACAAGAAATAGCCAATTGTTTGGACAGCATATAGAGCTTGTACTTTCTGAATGCATTTTACCCTGTAGTGAAGAGTACTCTGGGTTTATAGCTCTTGGCTAGACAACTTTTCTGATATCAGGGGAGACTGAAATTGAATCTTTTCTTTTAAAAAATATTTTCTCGTGTTTTTGGTGCAGCAAATTAGGTTCTCCTTTGACAGGGTTTGTACTATATATTGTGACAAAGAGACTCTGTTTCCAAGGTTGCTCCTGTTGGGTGCCTGTGCTAAGCAGATACCTGTCTCCCGCTGCAGGTCTTCAAGAACCCCCAGGAGGTAGTGACAGTGCTGCTGATTCAGACCTTGGGGGCCTTGGTGCCCTCTCTGCCCATCTGCCTGGCTTCCGCTTTGGAGAGGGCAGGACCAGAGATGGAGCTCACCAAGCTGCTGGAGTTCTATGACACCACTGCCCACTTTGCAAAGGGCTTGGAGATGGCTCTTCTCCCCCACCTACGTAAGTCTCCCCTCTTTCCAGCTCTCCAGCTTGGCTTCTCTTAGTTTACTGTTATGTGGTGGAGTGGCATTTTCTTCCTCCACAGATGTGGAGGCCTTCTCCACGAAAACATTGCCGCCACGGAAGTCCTTCTTTTCCTTTTTGCCAAGACCACTGCTGCCTCGGTGCTTTTGCACCCCCAGGGAACTGATGGAGGTAGAATTTGAGCCTAAGAGGCCTAAGTGCAAGGCAGATAGATATTAGTGGAGATTTGTTGGTTGGCAGCAGGTTACTGTATATACTCGAGTATAAGCTGACCTGAATATCAGCTGTGGCACCTACTTTTACCATAAAAACTGCATTAAAAATGTGCAGAAAAATTCGGCTTATACATGAGTAGATAGGCACTTTTAAGAGTAAAGTTTTCTTTCTATAAAGTCATCATAAAGGCTCAGACAATTCAAGCTAAATGGAAGAGAACAAGTTGGTGGGAGGGCTTTTGAAGGGGCCACAACAAGCTTGTCATCAGGGAAGAGGAGCTGCACTTGGATTAAAGGGAATGGGTTAAAGGGAATGGGCTTTCCCCAGTGCCATCAGGTAGCGAAGCACTTCTGCTGTCATCTGGGCCCACAGTGTGGTGGTGTTCCACTTTCCTGGTCATTTTCCCATCTGTAGCAAGAGCATTAAATGATTTTAAATAACACAGGCCACATGATACATGCTGCTGTCAGATCAGGAAATCCCTTCAGGAAGACCTTGTTCTGCTGTTTGGCAAGTGTGTGTCACTAACTTCGTGCATTTAATAGTTATTCTCTTTAATTGCATTTGGGTATAATTGTCTGGACATTCCAGGGAGTGTGTATATTGTTTGTGTTCTTGATGATTCACGCAGTGGTTTGGCACGCTCACTTGTCAGGCCTTGCTGTGGGAGAGGTACAGTGGATGTAGGAAGCTTCCAGAGGCTGTGATGTCATCAGCAGTGGTTCCAGGGTATTGAGGCCATGCATCCTGATGGAGCAGGGTGGAGTGAAGGTGAGACAAGGAACAGGTTGCATTCCTCTGACTGCTAGGGACCATTGTTGAAGAAAAGAGAACGATCCTCTCAAGAACCAGGGAAGGATTCCCTGTGTTGCGGACTCCTATCTGTAGCAGTGTGCATGCTCTGGTCTAATCCCATTTGTAAGGTAGAATTTAGGTCATGATATGGGGTGAAGGAAGCACCAAAGAGCTAGAGGAAAGTTGTGTTTTTCATTGATGCTATACTGTACCCTGAATCCAGGATATATAAACCCCTCAGGGCCAACAAGGAGAGTAGAAATACCAGGAGGCTTAAGGGAGGTTTGGGGGGAGAAAGGGAGAATTCATCACAAGGATCAACCTAGAACCCCCTCCCAGGGGGACAAATAACAGAAAAGTGGCTGAGGGACAACGGAGGACAATGTAAGATGTGGAAAAATAATCTATAATTTATCAAGGGTTCATGAGGGAGGGCGGGCAGGGAAGGGAGGGGGAAGAAATGGGAAGCTGATATCAGGGGCTCAAGTGGGAAGATAATTCTTTGAAAATGAGGATGGCAGCATATGTGCAAATGTGCTTGACACACTGGATGAATGTACGGATTGTGATAAAAGATGTAAGAGCCCCCAGTAAAAGTATTAAAAAAAAAAAAAAAGAACCAGGGAAAGCCTTTGTTATGCAGCTATCAGGAGTAAAGATTATTTATGACTGCTTTTTAGATTTCCAAAAAGGGGCATGCAAGTGGGTGAAGGGAGATGTCGAACAGTGCAAGATATGACAAAATAATAATTTATAAATTATCAAGGGTTCATGAGGGAGGAGGGAGCAGGGAGGGAGGGGGGAAAATGAGGAGCTGATGCCAGGGGCTTAGGTGGAGAGCAAATGTTTTGAGAATGATGAGGGTAATGAGTGTACAAATGTGCTTCACACAATTGATGTATGTATGGATTGTGATGAGTTGTATGAGCCCCTAATAAAATAATTTTTTTTAAGTATATAAAAAGTGCATGCATTTTTATATAGGGGGAAAAAAAGAAAATGTTGGAAGAGAAACATGAAAAATTAAAATAAAAAAGTTAAAATTATCCATAACTTCCATCTCTCAGAGAGAGCCACTATTAGCACTTGTTGGTATTTTCTTCCACAATAGTTATTCCTTGGTATTTGCCCAGGGTTTTGTACCTGGACTCCTTATAGATACCCAATTCTGTGATGCTCAGGTTTCTTACATAAAAAGAGTAGTATTTGCTGAAAACCTGTGCACAACCTGTCGACTGCAGATCATTTCTCGATAATATGTAATGCCTATTACTATGTAAGTACTAATAAACAGCATTTTCTCCTCCTCCTCGTGTTTGAGGGATAGATCTTGAGGCAAGGAGGAGCCTTTCAGGAGCCCTTGTAACGTCATCCAAGCTGAGAACCAAGAAGCGGTACAGCTAGAAACCACTCCAAACTAGAAACTCACTGACAACAAGTCAATTGTGAGAACCCACACTCTGGAACAGACAGGCAAATTAAGTCTTTAAATGCTTCTCAGGTTGTTTTGTAGGAAGCCTGGGCCCACCCATGTGCCACCACGTAAGGACTCTGGTACACCTGCGACACATCCCATAACAAGTCCTGTCTTGTAATCCCAGAATCCCTTGCAAGCAGTATCCAAGAAGACTACCTTTCCCCTGAATTTTAATGAATGTGTATAAAAACCCCTCTCCCCCGTTACACCGTGGAGGAGATAGAAACCTTGAACCCCCCACCCTGTACCCCAAGCTTCAGGGAGACAGATACAACGTTGCTTAGGCCCTTCTCATTTTCTATCAGCTGGTATCTTCTCTACTAAAACTTTTCCTGTGTGGAAACTCTGTGCCTGTCCCGGTCATTTTTGATCAGTTGAAGGCAAAAATCCTCCTTTGTAAAATTAGGCTGGAAAACCATACCTAGCAACACTTTGATCACTTTATTGCTTTGTAAGGAACCAATCCCACCACCAAACTTACCCTCGAATATTTTCAGTCTGTTGTTAGAGGCTACTGAGTAGATTCAGACCCATAGCAACCCTGTGCACAACAGAACAACCCCTGCGCAGTCCTGCGCCGTCCTCAGAACTATTGCTATGCTTGTCCGTTGGTGCAGCTGTTGTGTCAGTCCATCTCTTGAGGGCCTTCCTCTTTGTCACCGCCCCTCCACTTCACCAGCGTGATGTCCTTCTCCAGGGACAGGGCTCTCCTGACAACATGTCCAAAGTATGTAAGACAAAGTTTCACAATCTTGTCACAAAGCCCACCTTTGTCTTTTTATTTATTTATTAAAAGATAATTTTATTGGGTGCTCTTACAACTCTTATAACAATCATACATCAGTTGTATCAAGTGTATTTGTGCATATGTTGCCATCATCATTTTCTAAGCATTTACTTTCTTTTTGAGCCCTTGGTATCAGCTCCTCTTCCCCTCACCCCCATGTGACCCCTTGATAAATTATAAATTATTATTATTAGGTTCATATCTTACACCGACCCTTCCCCCACAGTTTCTGTTTTTCATCGCCCTGGTGGGGGTGGGCTGGCTTGGAACCAACTCCAAGTGCACTATCCCCCTTACATCACACTGGGTTTTTTTTTTGGTACCCCCCTCATATATATTTACATATTCCTATTAATCTTTTAATACCTGCTTAGTTTTGGACACAAACATTTCCAGGAACATCTTGCGATTTCCCTGTCTCAGGGACCTGAGAACAAACCATTTTCACAAGGAATCTTGTTATTTTTTATAGGACACCATAGTATGAAGCTAATATCACTGTTGCTTGAGTGTTGTGAGACATAGGCCGTTTTGTTGAACACAGGAAATAAATATTTACATTAAAAGTTTATACTGACATTTCCAAATAAAATCTAACACTACAGAATTTTTTATCTCTTGCCATTCTCAGTTGTATTTCCCTTGTCTGCAGTGAGGATTCTGGTTTCTAACAATGTGTGTGCCTTTTATACTTACATATATCAATTTTTCATGACAGCATTGTGAATTGGTCAAAACGTATTTAACTAATTTGTTAATTAAAGTAAAAATGGCCTAATTTTTGGGATTGGATGCTGAAGGCACAATGTTAAGCAACACCAAACATAGTCATATGACATATTCTCAAAAAACTCAGTGTCATCGAGTCTATTATAGCTCTTGGGAACCCACAGGGGCAGTTTTACTCTGATCTGCAGGGTCACTATGAGTCAGCATCAACTCAGTGGCAATGCAAGAGAGTAATGGGATCTAATTGATAATAGCAACTTGAAAAATTCGATAGGAACTTTTGAGATACTGAGTTTATGTTAATAAAGTAGAAACAACTCAGTAAAGGAAAAGAATGGTTGCGTAACTAGAGGAATCAACAATGTCATTAAATTGTACATATTCAAATTGTTGCATTGCACAAAATAAAGTTGAAAGAAAACGAATTAGATTCGCATTCACAAGCATACACATACTGTTCTGCGACATCCATAACAATCCATGCTCTGTGTTAGTGCTCTCACCATTTCTACCCCACCTGCCCTGTTTCCACCTTTCCAGGGAGGGGTTCACTGGAGGCTTCATCCATGTGTATTTCCCCTGTGCTTTTTTTCTTTTAAAACAACTTTTAAATGGGTCAAAAAGGATATAAAATAAGATATTACATTTTAACCTAACTCAATCTACCATAACTGTCTTTACATTGTTCTCTGTCTGATAACAAAACTGTTCACATCCCTCAACTGTGGTCAGAGGGGAGTCATCAGAGGCTTAATCCATTTGGGGACCCTGCAAATGCATTTTGCACTTGCACTGTCATCCGTGGCCTTCTGCAAATGGGTGTTCACAATTTAAGCTCTTGATACCTTCCCTTCTGCAGATTTGGGCTTTAATAATTTATAAACCTTAGATCACACAGGCTTGTGTCCTTTATCCATGTGGACTTAGTTGATGCCTCACTCTGTTAGACAGGGTTCTCTACAGAAACCCAGGACATTATGATTTTATATATATAAACATATATATATATATATACAAATATATATATATATATATATATATATATACACACACATACACACACATAGAAATACACACACATATGCGTGTGTGTGTATATATATATGTATATATATACACAGCATGAAGGAATATAACAGCTAATTAGTCCACACAGAAGTACAGAGGGTTCAGTTAAACTCACTTCTGTGAACAGTTAATATACTGGAAGTCCTTCAAGTCATAAGGGTTGCTGGGTCCAACGTTAAGGAAGCAGACAGCTGAGTCGTTCATAGAGCAATGTAGACAGTCTGGCCAAAGGCAGCAAACAACAGGGTGGGTCACCAACAGTCAGCCAGATGACAGGATCCGACAGTCCTCAGCTCAAATGATGTATACACCAGCAGTGTGGCAAAGCAGGTCTCGAAGGAACCTTAAGCTTTAGCAACACAGTCCATGGGTTGGGTGTCCCACAGGTAGTAAAGCTCACAAGTTGAGGCAGAGAACTAGCTAAGGCAGCCACACACTTGTCTGATTACCAGAGAACAAGGGAAGAGAAGTGGGGTTCACTGAGCCATTTATCTCTTTGCCCTCCAATTAAACTGCAACCATATTAATACCACATGTTTTTATCAGCCAGGTTGGCACAATATACCTACCTATCATACTCACTTAGATGGCTGCTTGCTTGAAGACAAGCCTTTAAGACTGCAGACACTATTCTTTCTGAGAATCAGGCACCATCCAGTTCTTCCTCACACTTTGCAATAGCACCCATCTCTTCAGAGATCCCTTTATAAGGATGAGTATCAAGCAGCACTGTGTCCTAAGAATTAATTGTTCTTAGATTAAGACTAGAAGTAAGTGAGAGCCTCGCCCCAGGTATTTTGGGGGGACATAATTTTAAAACATACTAATAAAATGTAATCACTCCCACAGATGAAACACAGGAAGAGTTCCAGTAGAGTACCTTTGTTGGAGTTGTTTTCCATTGCTTTTTTTAGGATTTTTGCTCATTATTTTTAATTTCTGATTTCCTGAAGATGAGCACAACGCAGTGAAAGTCACGGAACTGGTGGATGCTGTATATGGCCCATACAAGCCCTACCAGCTGAAGTACGGTGACCTGGAGGAGAACCACCTCCTCATCCAGATCAGTGCGGTGCCCTTGGTAAGGTCATCATTCTTCCTGTGGCTGGATACGTTCAGTCTTTCTTTGCCTGGCTTGAGGCCAAGTTTGAAAGGGTTGGAGGTGGGATGCACTGAAGAGGGTGTGAGATGGAATCAGCTGTGGAAAATGGAATCAGATGGGTAAAAAGTGGGTTCTAGATGCTTTCATGGGCTCTTGCAAGCCAATGTAAAATGAGATCACAGAAATGCTATCCATTTTAAATGTAAAACCCCCAATAAAGGTTTGGTAGGCAGAATGAAGTCTTTGGGTGAGAAGTTGCTTATCTCCTCTCCGATTGTAGTAACAGTAGGCTTTATAAGAACAGTAGGCTTTCCTTTAATGAAAGTGGTGCTGGTGGTATAGTGGATTAATTATTGGGCTACTTACTGCAAGATCAGTGGTTCAAACTCACCCTGCTCCCTGGTAGAAAGATGAGGGGGTCTGCTCCAGTAAAGGTCCACAGTCACGGAAACTCTCAGGAGTGGCTCTCCTAGGCCCTGTAGGGTCCTCTGAGTCAGAATCTACTTGACGGCAGTAGATTTGAGTTTTGGTTTTCTTTTGAGGAAAATAGGTAAATAAATACAAGCTTAGCATTCATGGATAAGACCTATAAGAGAGTTTCACTGGGAAAGAGGAATACAGGTCACCAGGGGAATAGAGGTCATTTCAGCCTCAAACAGTATTTTGTTTTCAGATCACCTAAGGTGAGTTGACCTTTAAGAATGGATCTTGCAGCAATCAAATTAGGTTGCCCCGTGCCGTTTTTCTAGGGATGTCCTTAGGAAGTCTGAACCGCTTCAGTTATATTCTTGCCCCTGATGGAAGCATGTCCTTTTACTACGTTCCCTGGGATTGTCTTTGAGTCCGTACTGGAGAGCAGAAAGGAGAGCTGTGATCCTAAGAATCAGAAAAAGAAAATGAAATTACAGAGTAAATTGGACATCTGACTCTGCTTCTGTGTTAAGAGTTGAATTCTGTGATCTCGTTGTCCTCTTTGACTCCCTGCCCCTGGTGACTGAGAGCTGTCACAGTAGCTGGCACTGTAGTCCCACCTGTCTGATAGTGAGCAGTGATTTTACTTGGCGCATGTTTGGAGGTCCCCAACTGCCTCGCTGTGGTCGAGTCAGATGTTCTCTTCCCTAACTCACTTCTTGTGTGTCTGTGTTTGCTGACCAGGAGCACGGAGAAGTCATCGACTGTGTCCAAGAGCTGAGCCACTCTGTAAACAAGCTCTTTGGTCTGGCATCCACAGCCATTGACAGATGCATCAGATTCACCAATGGCCTGGGAACCTGTGGCCTGCTGACAGCCTTGAAATCTCTCTTTGCTAAGTAAGATGTTGAGTGTTAGAGAGACACGTGACAGTATGTGTAAAATGAAAGGTTCACATATTTGTGTTCCGCTACGGAACCTGTAGAAACACTGGTGCCTGAGCTCAAGACAGCATTCGAGGATGTTCATTGCAATGTTGTTTATAATGGTGAAATATTGGAAGTAATTCAAATGTGCATCGGTTAGACCAGGTCTAAATGAGATATGGTATATAGTCATATGAGGGAACCCCATGTTGTAGTAAGTAGAGTAGTAACGGTGGTGGTGGTGGCGTAGTGGTTACACATATCAACGTGGGTTGACTCCCAAATGCACTGTTGAATGAAAAAAAATATGTTACAGAGTCTACCATTACCTAAAAAACTTTGGTGGCACAGTGCTGAAGCACTCACCTGCTAACTAAGAGGTTGGTGGTTCAGCCCCACCAGGTGCCCCATCAGAGAAAAATGTGGCAGTCTGCGCCTATGAAGATTTGCAGCCTTGGAAATCCTGTGGGGCAGTTTTACTCTTAAAGCTGGAGTCAGCATGACAACATTGGTTAGCTATCTCTTTATTTACTTTTTTAGGCAGTATAGTAAAAGTTGTTTTTTTTTTCCCGATAGCAGGGTTCAGCAAGCTTTCTCTGTGAAGCTCCAGATAGTAAATTTTTTAGGCTTTGTGGTAATTACTCAATGGTGCTTTTGTAACACGACAGTGGCATAGACAAAACAGAAGTAAATGGATGTAGGGATGTAGCTGTGTTACAGTAACATTTATTTACAAAAACATGAGTGTATCTAGACCCCTGATCTAGATTTACAAGGAAAAAGACAAACTTTAAAATGTGTGACATACCCCTATAGCAGGGGTAGGGAATGACTGGTCTGCCGGTCATATAAGGCCTGTCAAATCATCAATACCACCTAACATCACTCACCTCACCAAAGAGAAGTCATTCTAGCCATCACATTAGGGTGAGATAATTAGATGTTTGATCAAATATAGCAGGTTAATTTTTAAGTTGATAATTTTGTATGATCCGCAGATGACATTGTAAATATCCAAATGGGCCTTAGAGAAAAAGATTCTCTACCCCAGCCATAGTGGTAGGCAGCTATGAATCGTGAGCATAGTGGTAGGCATAGTGGTAGGCAGCTCATACATGTACCAGTGTTTCCTTTTGCACTATGTCTATATTTCTGTTTGTGCCTCCTTTTGACTATGACGTCAGAGATGAATAATTGTAACATAGACCTTATGACCTATAGCCTAAAATCTGAGAGTAAATCAAAAAGTATTGCCATAAAACTGTAGAAACCTTAATTAGACACAACTATACAAATGAAAGCTGCTTTTTGGTAACTTGACATAACTTCCATCTAGGTCTACGGACTTCTGAAAATGGCATTTCCACTTCTTTAACACTTCCCCAAATAATTGTGTGCCTTTTGACTCGTACCATGTCAAAACGGCAGTTTTGCATCCTTGAATGACTCAAATAGTGACCATTTTAAATGTCCTTTGAGTTAGGGGAACTAAAAGAAGTCTAAATGGGCAAGATCAGGCCTAGGAAGGATGAGTTAAAGTATTCCTAAAGTATTCCAACAAAACTCTCACAGGACAAGCTCAAAGAAAGAGCAGGTACATTGTTGTGATGGAAAAAGTTCCTTGGGGCAACTTTCCTGACCTTTTCGTCACCAATGTAGCTTTCCATTTAAAAGACACACACAAAAACTTCGTAATGAACACCCATGACTCTCCTGTGCCCTTCTAGAACATCAAGATTACCCCATTGGGATCCTTCCCCAAACAGCCTCCACAACTTGCTGCACTCATCTCTCTGTCTTGATTTAACTGGTTTAGGAGTCAGTCCCCCTAAGAGACCCTCTGACACCGCAGGTCAGTGGTTACCTTTCGAGCTGCTCTGTAGGAGAACGAGAGGCTGGCTGCTCTCCAAAACATTTAAAGACTCAGATGTTTAAAGATGTTTTGCTTGCAATGAACCTATGCAGGTATGAACTGGAACTCACTGGCAACACTTTTGGACATCCTTGTATGTTCTATGTGTTCTTTGAAAGAAAAAGTTTGTTGAACTCTGATGTGGGAAGGTTAGATTCCAGATTCAAAGCATTAGTTATCTTTGAGGAAATAAGAGAAGGACTAGATTGTATGATTTTATTCAGAGGACTTAGCCGTATTGTAGAAAAACATTTGAAAAAAGTGTACGCTTATATATTTCTTGTTTAATGAAAAATATAAACAACACAGCGATATGCACCTACTTGTTATTAGGTTCACAGCATTGCTCTTGAGTCCGTTTGGACTCTTGGCAACCCCGTGTTGCGGAGAAGAACTGGTCACAAAAGACCACACATTCATTGATTCTAGAAATATGGAAAATGTCCAGAAGAGGCACCATAGAGTCTGAAATGAGATTAGTGGTTGCCTAGGCTAAGGTAGGAGAAGGTATTAGGAGCTAGGGTTGATTGCTAAAGAGTGTGGGCTTTCTTTTCAGGGTAATGAAAATGTTTGAACTTGCAATGTGGTGGTGATCTTTCAACTCTGAATGCACTCAACTACAACCATTGGATTATATACTTTAAATGGTAAATTGTGTGGTTTATGAAATTATATCACAGGAAAACTGTTACTGAAAAAAAGGTGGTGGTGGTGGAGGAACTAAAAGCAGGCTCAGTAAGGAAAGCAAGCAAGCAAGCAGCATCAGAGTAGACTCCCTGGCCTGTGTCGCAGAGGCGTACGGCCCTCAGGAGCCGCTGTGCTCTGCTCTCGCGGGTTGGGCGAGTGCATTCTTCTGCTCTCGAAGACACCTTCCTCTGAGAGCCTGCTCCAGAATGAGGTTGCCCTGAGTCTTGAGAAAGTTCTTTTGTTGAATTGAATCCTCTTTTGCTGTGAAGTTTAGGGATCTCTTGTCATTCCAGAAATAGGGAGAATGTCCCTGTGAACCATCCCCAAGGCCTTTTTGGTGCCCTCAATCACTTAGTTACACAAGCCTCAGGGCAGCAGTGCCTCTTGAGGGCAGGTGTGGGCATTTGGGCATGTTCTACTCACGGATGGAGGGGCATATAGATTGACTCCAGATATGTTCTGTAGGAAGAAACATCAGTGACACTGTTTTTTTCTGTCTTTGTCACCAAGCACGCTTTTGTGGGTGGTAATAATTCTTTTTTTTAAATCCAGGAATTTTATTATAAAATAGTAAAAAGAAAAATTTCAGAATAATTTATAAGAATAAAAAAGGGGTAAGAAAGTAAACCCTATCAGTGCGCTTAAACCCACTTCTAAGACGGAGTCAGTTTTGAGTGTTTCTGGGTTTGGCCTTCCAATGCTTCCCTCCAAACTTCAAACAAGATTTACAAAATCTGCTTTAAATATGACCTCTTAGCTTTCCTCTGTAAAACTTGAGGAATTGAGCTTCTGTTTTCTTTTCTGCTTTTCTCAGCTAATGCTAGTTATATGGTTACCTGTGGATTTTCTTTGGTGTTTTGTTTTATTGCATAAAGGAATATGTTGTATTGATGTACAAAAAGAGAAATTATTCAGATATGCAGAGAGCAAGGATGTTTTTGTTAGGTGTTGTCGAATCGGTTCTGACTCATAGAGACCCGTATACGAGAACAAAATGCTGCCCAGTCCTGCTGCATCTCCACAGTTGTTCTGTGTGTGAGCCCGTTGTCACAGCTACGTGTCAATCCATCTTTTCAGGGGCCTTCCTCTTTTTCACTACCTCCTCTTTACCAAGCATGAGGTCCTTCTCCAGGGACTGCTCTCTCCTGCCAACATGTCCACAGTACACGAGAGAGGGTGTCTCCATCCTGGCTGTACCTCTCCCAAGACAGATTATTGTTTTTCTTTTATCAGTCCGTGACACTTTGATTGTTCTTTACCAGTCCCTTAATTCAAATGTCTCCATTCTTTTTTATTTAATGTCCAGTGTTCACATGCATATGAGGTGATTGAAAATACCATGGCTTGGGTCAGGTGCACCTTAGTCTTCAAAGTGGCATCCTTGCTTTTCAACACTTTAAACAGATCTTGTGCAGCAGATTTCCCCAATGCACTGTGTTTGTTTGATCTCTCGATTGCTGCTTCAAAGAGCATTGATTGTTGATCCAAGCAAGACAAGATCTTTGACAGCTTTGTGTTTCTCCGTTTATCATGTCTATTGGTCCAGTTGTGAAGATTTTAGTTTTCTTTACATGAGTTGTAATTTATACTGAAGGCTGCAATCTTTGATCATCAGCAGCAAGTGCGTGAAGTCCTCATTTTCATCAAACAAGGTTGTGCCGTGTGTATATCACAGGTAGTTAATAAACCTTACTCTAATCTTGAATACCACGATCCTCAGGTAATCCAACTTCTATGCTTATTTGCCCAGAATACAGATTGTGTGGTGAAAGGATACAACCCTGATGCACACTTTTCCTGATTTTAAACTATGTCTCCTTGTTCTTTTTGCCTTCCTGCCTTTTTCTTCATGTACAAGTTCCACTTGAGCACAATGAAGTGTTCTGGAATTCTCGTTCTTCTCAAGGCTGTCCATAATTTGTTATGATCCTCACAGTTGAATGCCTTTGCACAGTCAATAAAGCCAAGTAAACATCTTTCTGGTGTTCTCCACTTTCAGCCAAGGTCCATCTGACATCAGCAATGATATCTCTTGTTCCATGTCCTCTTCTGAACCTCTGGCAGCTCCCTGTCAGTGCTCTGCTACAACCAGTGTGGAATGGTCATCGGTAAAATTTCACTTGCATGTGATATCAGTGATATTGCTCTGTAGTTTGAGAACGGGCACCAATAATGGATCTCTTTCAGTCAGTTGGCCAGGTGGCCGACTTACAGATTTCCTGCTAGGGATGAGTGAGTGCTTCTAGTGCTTCCATCTTCCAGCGTCACAGCAATCTTCAAGCCACCAGAGTATGACAAACTGTCAAACAAGTGGTGGAGAAATATTAGAAGCCATAAAATCCATACCTTTTTCCTCCTCATACTTCCTTGAGCA